GAGAAAGCAAGCATAGTTATGTGACACAGGCTGTGAGCAGCGCGTTGCTGCTGCCTGCGGGGTGTACAAGTATGCAAGGTCTTTTATATTGTTCTCCCACATGCAAACTGAAGTTCAGGAGTGTTTGCATGCACCTCTGCCTGCGAGGTTGTAGTAGCAAATGCAAGTGGACATGGACACTTGTTCAAGTCTGAATCAACTCCTTTCTTGGGTTGCTTGCTCCCCCCCTCGAGTGGCAAGAGTCATTACTGGAGCTAAAACTCATCTTAGTTCAGATTGTGGTAATTAACAGAAGTTACCTCATCCTTTAATCACATACACATCCCCTGAGGTTGAACAGCACACCAATGTTCAGTCTTAGAAAGAAGTGAAGAGGGTGACTGCCTGCGTTTGGAATGAAAGGAGGAAGTTAGCCACTGTGCAATCATTGAAATGAGAAGTTGGTCCTGTGTCTTTAATATTCCAAAGTAGTCTCTGATATCAGTCCTTCCTTAGCTCTCATTCCATTAGCTCAGAGCTCACCCTGAGGGTGCTGAGTGCCAAGTTCAGTGTGCAGCACAGCTTGTAACCAAGCAGAACAATGTTATCCTGGTGATCCTGCAGATCTTCAGAGGAGGCTGTGTGTGTGTGTCAGGTCTTCAGCTGGAAGATGAAATGGAATATGTGGAATATGCTTGACAAGCTTCTCTTGGTGTCTGTAGTATGAAACATGCAAGGAGTATTGCTTTTCCACCAGGAACTGTCCCTTAATACCTACTTTTTTTTTTTTTTTTTTTTTTTCCTTTCTTCTACTAATATTTTTTCTTCAGGTTTTTTTTTTCTTTATAGGAAAATTCCTTTTTCCTGGCCTAGACCTGGCAGCTGCCAGGCTGCTGTGAGGGCATGGGCTTGAACTGTACCAATTTTTCAAAAAAAGAAGAGGAAATTGAAGAGCAGATGATTTCATAGTAGTTAGCCACTGATGCTTTATAGAGCTGCAGGTCAGAGCTCCTGGGAAGGCAGAAACACATCCCTCACTCTTTTCTCTGAATTTCAGTGAGGCTCACATTGAGCACAGTGCCAGTACCATGCACAAAGAGTCCTGTCTCCGGCGCTGGGTCGTGCCAACCATTTCAGACACTGCTTCCCATAAGTAAGGCTGCAATGATACAGCATCAGAGTAAGTGCTAGGAGACAGGCAAAGTGCCCAGCCAACACGGAGAGCCAGGGCCTGGACAGGGAACGGCATGCGTCACATCAGTCACAGCTTTTGGGGGGGTTGTGGAGAGAGGATCCAATGAATAGACAGTTTTCAGGACATCATCAAAGCAGAGTGAAACTCTTCTTATCATGTAACCAAGCCCCAGAGCTGATTGAGCAGCCCCTAAAATCCATGCTGGCAGGCTTTGTGCAAATACGCTGTCCTGCCATAACAAACTGCTGAAAGCCAAGAGCAGAAAGATAAGTTTTTTCCTCTCTATCAAGCTAGGAACCAAAGAAAAAAAAACAACAACAACAACAAAAAAAGCCCCAAACAAACAAACAAAAACAACAAAAAAACTTTTCTTTTAAAATTAGCTGTTTTAAATAAACGAGCATTTTTTGAACCGCAGGAGAGCACACACCTAACATTTGTTAAGTGAATAGCAGCAACACGTTTAAGTCTAGCTCAGTACTGCAAAGCGGTTTTTGTGCTGCTTTTGCTGTAACGTTTCTAGAACACGAGCTGCAAAGGGCGGCTTCCTTTCATTTCCAGTCAGCATCACAGAGAAAACTTCATCGTACGCTAACGTCCACAGCACCCCTCCGGCCGAACATCAACTCAACGCCCCGCCCGCCATCACGCATGCGCCCCGGGTCGGCGATGACGCCACGTTTATTCGGTGGCTGAAGGCACCGCCCTCGCAGTGCCCGGAAGCGCCGTGCAGCCCTCAGGAAATGGCGGCGCTGCGGGGCGGGCGCGTGACGCGGTGTGTCATGGCGGCGCGGCCCGTGAGCGGCGATTCTTGCTGCTGGAAACGTAAGTGAAAGCTGCGCAGGGGGGGGTTGAGCAAGGGGGAGCGGGATAGGGAGCCTCCTCCCAAGCCCTGTGGCCAGGCTCCGGCGAGAGAACAGCCAGCCCCCGGGTGCCGCAGCGCTTCTCCCGGCGTTGTCCCGGAGGACTAAGAAAGTGGAGACGGTGCCCTCGTGCCGACCCCGCTGATACTATCCTCCAAAATGAAACGGTGGGAGAACAAGGCCTGCCCGCGAGGTAAGGGCAGGGCCTGCTTCCTCCACCTACAAGGCTCTGGCGGTAAGCAGAGGGAACGAGCTGGCGGGGTCGGAACAAAAACGTCCAGAGCCGCCGCGGCTGCTCTTGTGATGCCGCTTCAGCCGTGTGCGCTTGCCCCTTTGTTCCCGGCTCCAGGACGGACCGAGGAAGGACGGGACGCGGTACCCAGCTGGGCGGCTCCGAGGTCGGCTCCGCTCGGCTGGGGCGAACCTGCGGGCAGCCGTGCCCCGTAGGCGTGATGCCCTCCAGTGGCAGCCGTGTGTGCTGGCGTGCTGAACCGAGGGGAGTGGGAAGAGTGCTCCGAAGTGCTTCGTGTCTCTGGATGCAAAGGTACCCCGGATTTTAAGATGTTCCTCTTCACAGGAGAGGAAACGCTGTTGTTTTCAGCATGAGGCTGAGACTCCTGACTGGATTTAAGTCCTTGTGCTACAGTGCCTGGATTACCTTGTCTGTCCTGCTTGAGTGTTACTGCAGGATGTGAGAGAACAAGGGGCCTTGAAAGAATCCCAGCAGTGCCTAAAAGCAGTCCAGACAACAAATCAAATCAGTAGCAGAACTGCGCTATTGACTTAGCCCTCTGGCTGAGACAGAAATAACAGCTCTGAGGGAGAACGACTCCAGCCAGCTCTGTGCTTTCAGGAGATGCTGGCAGCTTGCAGCAGAGTTTCAGATCCTGCTTCTTTCTCCTCTCTTCAGACAGCACTGTGATTTTAATGGATGTTTTTTCTGTTTTGTGCTCTGTTCTGTACAGAGACACACCACAAGCCAAATATGATTCTTGCTAGGTACATAAGGCTAGTTCAGCATTGCCTTCTGGCCTTTTTGTCCATGATAAAAGGGATTGAGTATAACTTGTAAACCTGGGAGTCTGTAGATGGCCCTGGCAAGGTCCCATTTAGCTGCTGGGTGAGGTGTGGTTGGTATTCTGTCCTTTGGCTGTTCCTGCTGCTCTTGCGGCCTCTGCAGGGATGAATAGATCACTGCTACAGGTTGGGGCAGCCTGTGGTATTTGAGCAGCCAGTGCCAGAGCTTTAGGCATGAGCCTCCATGTTTCACTGAAGATGAATTTTTTCTCTGCCAGCAAATACATGTAATCAAAGGAACAGAAAGAAAAACGCCAACAGCTACAGGAAAAAACATGTCCTACAGCACATGACTAATTGTCAGAGAGCGACTCGTTCTTAATGGGCGTTTGTTGTTTCATGTGGTCTAGTTCAGCAGTGAGCCAGAGTTTCAGAAGATAAGCTCTCCAGGGCAGTGGTCACAGCTGTACTTCATCAAGCTAGCTGCTGGAGTTCAAGAAGGGTTTGGACATTGCTTTCAAGTGTGGTGCTTGAATTCTGAATGGTCCTGCGTGGAGCCAGGAGTTGGACTCGATGATCCTTGTGGGCCTCTTCCAACTCAGGATATTCTGTGATTCTGTAATTGCAGCTTGGGTGCCTTACTGATCTGATCAGTAGACCCTGTAATGGAAATGGTGGCCTCCTTGTAAAGGATGTATATAATGGTAATTTACAGTAACAGCTGGTTTTAAAGAATTGTTCAGTCCTTTTTCTTTGCTGTGTAAATATTTAAGTGACAAGGTTGAGGTTCCTAGGAGAGTAAATGCTTGGGTTGCAGCTGACAGGTGAAGCTTTTATTAAACAAACATGCAAATTTTTTTTTTAGCTTGGCACCTGATGATTGCTTATTTGTTCTTTTTTCAGATATTTCTGTTGCTGCCTTAGCAGTCTCATATGCCATCCCTGTTGATGACCACTGAGTCCTGCTCTGAAAAGCTGGCTGCTCCTGTGATCTGCAGATTCATTGAGCCAGCAACATAGTGGCGGAGCTGTTTGTTACCCTTAGAGACTCAGTTGCACAGTGTGCAAGTACCTCATAGCTGGCTCAGCAAATCAGTCCTTGCAGCGCACCTGTGAGATGGTTGTCTGGGTTGATGTAACATCAGAGATGAGCAGCTCATTCTGGAGCCAGAATACAGGTACAGTTTAAACACCTGAGATGAAAGCTGTGGGTGAAGAGTGATGTTGTGGGGCCATTCAGAGGGCCAACACAATGTAGGCTTTCATCAGAATGGCTTCATTGACCTGGCAGTCTTTGTGTATTAAGGTGTCCTTGAGGACTGTCAGTCCTGCTGTTCTCCTGATACTTCTGCTCTGATACTTGTGTGTTTTTGTTTTATTTTTGCAGGTCTTTCTCTCATTGTAAAGAGCGGGGCGTTCAGTTTTGGCAGATAAAGGTTAAATATGCTCCACTGTTTGGAAGCTGGACCTTAAATCAAGTCGTACGTTTTTAATTGAAGGGAGAAAAAGGTGTTAAAACAACCCAGTGGTGTGGTGCTTTCTGACCACTTTGTTCACTGTACACTTTAGCTGCTATTCTCTGGTACAGCCTTTCAGTATGTTAGCATTGCTCACCTGGCCACCTTGTGCCCTATGTATTAACAGTGATTGCAGGCTTAGTCACCTGTTTGTAGGAGACACAAGTTGTGCTCATTGCAAGGCATTGAAATTGACCTGCCTCATAGGAGGTTGGACAAGATAGTCATAACAGCACTTTTCTGTCTTGGAAGTCTGTGAATTCTTGGTGGGCTACAAATGAAGCTATATTTGCATAGTTCAGTGCTGCTAAACTCGTTTAGTTTTCCAAGCTGCAAGTCAGTATTCAAGTGAAGAAGATACTAATCACTGCTGTAAGAGCATATTCCACTCCTGTTTTCATGGTTTCTTCAAAACTTATTTTGGGGAAATGCATTTCTTCTCTTAATTTCTCAGCTATTTGGAGAAAAACAGACAAGCTTTTGGCACACAGTTCTACATCAAATCTAAATTTTGCCAAGCTTTATTTATAAGAACCATGTCTACTGTAGAGACAATCTGTTCCTGACAAACCCCTAGAATAGAAAATTTCAACCAATTATTTTTGTAATGAATGTACAATAAATCTGTTGAAAAGCTATCTATTAATGACTCTTGCTTAAATACTGGTCATTTTGACACCCACAAGTGAGGCTGTTGAGAGCTAGACAAACCCGCTTGACAGGTAGTACCAGTCCAACTGTCTGGAATCTGGAAATAAGGTCTTAACAAGGCTGTTCTGGTTGAGCACTGGGCCAGCACTGCTACTGTCAGCATACAACTGTGGCCTGAAGCTTCAGGGGCACAGCATCAGAGATTAAAAGCTCTTGGTGCTGAGGAGTGGGGGAAGAATTTGTGAGTGGAGAACATAGCAAGGCAGAGGTGAGGATGGCCACCAAAAAAAGAAGTAAGAAAGGATGATTTAGACTTTTGTGTATGGGCAGCTAAGCACTGCAAAAGGCACCCATGTGATTTTGGTTTTTTGCTTTTTCCCTAGATAAATAAATGAGAAGCATGGGCATTGGGCAAGGATGTTTTTTTGTTTGTTTTCATGTTTGAGACTTTATGGCATGCTTGATTATTTCAGTAAGCATCATTGTTTCAATCTTCCTGCTGTTTATGGTATGTGCTAACAGTTCACACGCAGGGGAGGTGTAGTTGATTATCTTGTGCAGACTGTGTACCAACAAGAGTACTTGATTGTAAGATCAGCTTCATGGCTAGAGTGTTTTCAGTTTTGTCTAGCATCTGTATAGTGATTGTGCCTTTTGCTATTTTGGCTTTTTGTTGAATTTTTTGCTTCTCAGAAGACACGAGTGTAGTTAATGATTGCTGTGGAACAGGGAGTTCCCTAAATATAAAATGGGTATTGGGAGAACCAGTAATGCATCTGTCACTGCTGCTTGGTGTCACTTGTGGGAAGGATGGTATCTGCTTCTAACCCTGAAGAATTCTGCAAATAGCTCCAGGGTGCTGATGAGTCTTGCGACCGTAATGTTTTTCTTCTAAAATGCTGCCTAAGATAAGATAAAATTGTCCAAGGGCCTAGGCCTGGCAGATTGTTTGGGTCAGGGATGCTTTGCTGTCTTGGGATAGAGCTGGATTTTAGGGAGTGTGATGGGACAATGCTGAAAGAGAGAATTTCTCAGTGTGTGTTATATGTGGATAGGACTGTTGAAGAGCACAGTCTTATAGGAGGGCAGTCCATGGAGGTACTGTAATACCAGTATGTACCTTTAGGGTACCAGGTGTTTCCAAAGCAAAGCAGGGATGGACATAATGCTGAAAGTGTGAGTTGAATGTGTAAAGGTGCTGGGCAATATCAGCATTGTAAAATGACAGTCTGTAGCTTTCATAGTCCAGCAGGATACCAATCTTTGTGGGGGGAACAGTAATTCTGATGTCTGGTGTCATCCCACTGTGCAGGAATTCATACTTGTGCCTGTGGGCAAGAAACACAGTCAAAAATACCTCATGCACTCTGTGCACAGGCATGTTTCAGGGTCTGTTTTCTTGTTTTGCATGCATGGTGAAGACAGTCCTATCCTTTCCACGTATCGCATCTTTATGCCCCATTCCCATCCACTCTGCTGAGAACGCTGTTCACTGCTTTTCCACACAGCCTTATCTCCTTGCTCAGATGTGCCTTCCTCACCCACATAACAGGCCTTCGTATCCACACCTGGCTGAAACTGAGCAGGTACTGTCACTTAGGACAGGACAAGGTCAAAGGGACTTTCCATTTTTCCCAGCTACTGAGCTTTATCTGAAGATGTCCTTTCCTCTGCGAAGAAGCTGTGCTCTGCCAGGCCAGTTAGGCCTTCCCCAAAGCAATACTTGTCTTCTCTTAAGTCTTGCAGCTTCATAGTTTTAGGAGCAGCCAAGGAGAGAATTGATGAGATGACTCAGTCCTGTCCTTCCAGGCCCTGAAGTGCCGCCCACTTACTCTCTAGGGCCTGTGGTACTGAGCCCTCTTTCCTGTCAAAGACACAGGAACTGGAAACGCTTACGCCCTCGGACTGCAGCAGCAGTGAGGGAATATAATCCCTCAGGCAGAGGCTGGCTGACTCAGTGTGACTCTGCATCCTCCAGGCTATTTGATGTCATATTTCAAACCCTGTTCTCTAAATGACATTTCTGGCTGCTTTTCCTACAATACTTCACGTTGCTCAGCCAGGGTGGTGCTGATAGGGACTTTCCAGTCTTCAGTTACTGGAAGGTGACCTCTAATCATGATTCCTGTCCTTTGTACTAATGGAAGCTAGGAGGATGCTCTGTACATAACTGCTTTGTCATGAGGGTAGCCCTTTTCTTCCCCATGTAGTCACTGAGTAATGCCAGGATCCTTTAACAGTTACTCAATCAGCTGTCCCTAGTGTTGTACGCTGCACCCAAAAATATGAGTCTTTTATGGGAACATGTACTGTTCTGGGAGTAACAAGAAGATTTATTCAGTAAAGCAAGTTTTCTGGTATTTCACAGGGACCGGCTTCTTCACTAACCACCTCTTCCACCCACACAGCACAAACCTTAGAAAATTTCCCTGCAGAAATGCGTATGACAGTGACTCAGAGCAACAGCCTGGCCCTGTTTTCTCCTCCCTGAAGTCCATGCTTATTGCTCCACAAGAGTAAGAGCAAACCTCAATGTACCTCTTAGATCATTGTAGCAAAGAAATCAAATTAGCCTTCCTGCAGTGTATGGGAGAGTCATTAACTTCAGTGGGCTTGGTCTTGCTCATTAAGCAGCGTTTCTTGCTGTGTGGGAGGCAAATGTCAGCATTGCTAAGAACTTTGGTTATGCAGCAGGCCAATGGCTGGGGAGCTGTGAGCAGCAGGCATCTGGGAATGTGTGCTCTAGACAACTGAGCTACATCTAAAACTCTCCCTACATACCAACAGACAGAAGACTGGAAGCACTGGTACCATGCTGTGTCATCATTACCATCTGCTGATAATGTGTGTGCTGGGGCACTCAGTGCCTTGTTCAAGGGGTCCCAGCACCACACTGGCAACTCTTGCAGTCTGAGTGCCGTTGCAGGCTGAGGCAGTAGAATTACTATGTTGTTTGGTATGGAACTTGTTTTCTTGCTCCTAGGTGCTTCACGGTGTGCCCAAATCACACATACAATTCAAAGGTGATGCTAACTCAGTTGTCATTGCCCAGGGTAGGCCAGTGGATGCAGCTGAGGCATGAGGGAGTTCTGGCATTTCTGCATGCAGGCATGGCTGTTGGGTTGGGTACCTCCAGAAGGAGGATATGAAAACGTTTCCTACGAATGTTTTTATCCAGGTAAGTACTTTTTAGGTGACATGGACTTACTACTGGTTGTCTTCCAATGGGATTTCAGTGACCTAACAAGGTTTTTATAGTAACTTCTGTAATGGAATTTATTCAGATTTGTTCCTGGGACTGCTCCTTTCAATGTGAGAATGGTGCAAAGCAGTAGGATTTGCTTAAAGGTTTCAGAATCATTCCAACACTAATTCACAGGGCCAGTGGTAGAAATAATCACAGACCCCAGTTTGAGTGTTTGACCTGCATTTTGATTTTTGCCTCTCACAGGGAAGAGTTCTTTGCTGCTCAGCCTGCAGATGTACATGTAGAAGGTATCCTATAGGAGAAATGTAGCTTGCATGTCCCTTACCTTGATGGTGTGATGATGTGTCTCATGCACCAGGATGAGTTGTTTGCCCCCAGATAACCATGTCTTGGAGTGTTTTCAAAAGCAACGCCAACTCTGTATTCTGTATCTTCCTCAGCTTCCACTTCCCAGTAATGCTTTCCTGGAAAAGGGATCAGACTGCCCAGGATCCCGATACACCTGTGAGAGAGACAGGAATATGCTCTGGCAGAAACTCTTTGCAGTGCTATCTATGCAGTGTACCTGGGTGTTGCATATCAGTAATGGAAGCCATGTTAATTGTTTCCGTAGCAGCACAGCATGAGTTTTTCAGTAAAGTGAAGTTCGCATGCTGAGGACCTGACACACGACCTGCAGGTTTCTTTGTGATTCCTACTCTATTTTACTTTCGGGTAGTTTTGTATGAATTAACACCCTGGGCACTTTCAAGAATAGGAGGAATAGAATCCTGTGCTGCCTGAGATTTCTGGGGAAAAGAGTGCTTTGGTGAACCCGTGTAGAAGGAGAAAAAAGTGTATGTGCTTTTTTTCTTCCCACAGAATCCAGGACTTAAGTGTCACCTATGTCACCTACCATCAGAAATGAAATACTGTAGCAATTCAGTACTAGACCAGGCTCCTCAGGGCCCCATCCAATCTGGCCTTGAGCACCTCCAGGGACAGGGCATCCACAACCTCTCTGGGCAGCTGTTCCAGCAGCTCACCACTCTCTCTGTAAAGAATTTCTCCCTGACATCCAAGCTAAATCTCCTCTCCCTCAACTTTAAACCATTTCCCCTTGTCCTGCAGTTATCAATCCTTTCAAAGAGTAGGCTTCTTTGTAGGCTTCCTTTAGGTATTGAAAGGCTGCAATGAGGTCACCCCGCAGCCTTCTTTTCTCCAGGCTGAACAAGCCCAGCTCCCTCAGCCTGTCTTCATAGGGGAGGTGCTCCAGTCCCCTGATCATCTTTCTAAACACCCTATCTCAATGTAAGAGGGCAGCTTGAATCCTATAAGACTACATCCCAGTTCTGCTTTAGGAAAATTACACAGGGTATTTGTATTAACCGTCATTGCTGCATCACAGGGCATAGTAGGTTTAAAAACACTGCTAAAGTTTTGGATGCAGAGTCACAGCCTGTACATTTTTGTGGTAGGATCATGTAGGGATGTAAATTAAAAAGACAAAGGTTGTTGCTGGAACACTCTGAGCTCATCTGCCTGCAAGTGGTACTGAATTCAGCATGATGAGGATGGGAACAGCAAGTTCAGACTGTACTTTGTGCCACCTCAGCAGCAATCACGTAACTAAGTGTACAGTTCACTAGAAGTGCATGTAGATGTAGTGGGAATAGATTAAAAGTTGATGAAATTGAAACTCAGAGAAGCTATGCTGCTACAGCTTGAAAGGAACGATGCAAAATGGATGACAAACATCTGTGAACAAGATATTGCCATACTAATGAGAGTTGTAAAGCCACCAAGGCAAACCTGAATCAGCCTGTAGGAGCTGGTGTGGTTAAGAAGCATATTAGCCTGCTGGAGATCACACAGGCTTTAGAAAGAAGAGTTTACTATATAATTTCGTTGTGCAAGTATTAGTCATTTCAACATGGGAGCTTCTCCCCCTCCCCCTCCCCTCTCACACAGTATCTTGGCATGAAAGAGGCTTATGAGAGTTTACGGTGGCATCAAAATCATCCTCAGAGTTCCGAATGAGATGAGTGCTGGCTGGTTGTTTATGTGAAACATAAAAGCACCTGTAGAAGGGTGGGTGAAATCCCATTTAGACTCATCATGATTACTATAATGGAGAGAATCTTCTCTCCTGGATCTTTTCAACAAAGCTCCCTAGTAACCTTGCATGGCAAAAACAGCCTTTCATTTCCATGGAGGGGCTAAATTTTGACTGTGTATTACTATGTGTCTACAGATGCCTCTCCTACTTACATGTTGTTTCTGTGGTGCTGATTGGAAACTGCTACATTTTAGCAAGCTAAGGCCCTAGCTTTAATGGCCTAATTCTATTTTGAAACGAAAATCTGTAAGCCCAATAGCATGAGCTAAGCAAACAGTTGGCCAACCCAGCAACATTTTTCAGCAAAAGGTAAGCGTTCAGATCTCTCTCCTTTCCTCGGCATTTGCTTTCGTGCATAATACCTGTTCAAATTTAGCACAAAGTGTCCAACATGAGTAGATTTATACATAACTGCAGCTGGCAGCATCTGTAATTCTCTTTGCTAACTTGCATTGACTTCCAAGCAAAATTTAAGTTCCAAAGAACAGCTGCAGAGAGAGGTCAGCTCACAAAATCAATGAGAGCTGGCTGAAAACCAAATTCTGGCATCTATTTTAAAAATATCAGTGCTCCATGCCACAGAAGCCCCTTTTGAAGAAGAGGTTCAAGTGCCTAAAGCACAAATGGCAGTGCTTTTGTTGTTGTTCTGTCTGTCTGTTCCGTGTTCTGTGTTCAGTGGCTTCCATTGAACAGAGCTCTATAAGAACAGCCCTTAAATCACCATGTGTGAGACCAAGGAAGGATGGGCAGAGCCTCTTGTACAAGTCTGCATCACCCTGGCATCCTGCAGAGAAAGGGGCAAGGAGGAGGGAGCAACTGCCACCAGAAAGGAGCAGCTCCTCAAGTCTTAGAAATGTGCAAGTACTAGATCACTATAATTAATGAGAAGTTAATAATTATGTGTTTTTTAGTGCTGCATTAATAGTAAGTGGGTTTTATTTATTTATTTATTGTGACATTTAGGGCTCTTTGGGCTCTGTAAAGAATTAAGTAGGAAGAAGTTTCAGAAATGAATAGAAGTTGGTGAAAATGAAATTTTCAAGTTTACCTTGTAAAGCTGTTATCATAAACGGGCAGATCACACTCTGGGTTTTCCAGTTCATCACATGCAATTGTAAATCCATCATCTAGAATGGCCAATAAAGGATGGGCTGTGTCCTCATTAAGACAGAAGTAGGTGCCTGCAAGAGAAAAGCATGCGTGAGAACTACAGCAACTGCCCGTGGCATTATGGTTTGCAACAAGGGTGGGGAGGAAATGTTTGGATCCACAAAAAGAATAGCTAGCATTCTGGAAGGAATCTGGCTGACACCGAGAGGACAAGGTTATCCATTTCGAGACTTTCAAATAAATGGGTGTTACAGGAACAACTTACAGCTTAATACTGTTTAGTTACAGCCTTGTTGAAAAGCAGAAAATAGGCCTGAGCCTTTTTTAAAATCCAGCCAAGGTTCAAAGCTGCAGGCATTGCACAGGAAGCAGCTATTCAGAGATGACAGCTCCTTCCTGCAGTAGACCATCTAATTCCAAGTCATCTTCCTTAGAGGTGAAGTGATACATTTTTATTAGCCTCTGAAAGTAGAAGAAAGGTTCAAGTCCTCTCCATCACTCCACTCTTTCACATAAATGCCAGGCATATTTGAAGAGAAGGGATGATTTACAGTGGTGACAGGCCAGTGTGGGGTTCACTGCCCAGCAGTCACTCAGTTCAGCCTCTCTTTTCTGCCTGCCTTTACAGAGTGCAGGCTGGATCCCACTGATGCCAGAGACTCTGGAACTGCATTCTTCAGAGAGTGACTGCTGAAAAGACTGCTGCAGTGTTCCTAGTAGTGTGTGCCCACCACTGCCCAGGAGCTGTAGCCCAACAAGGCCCTCCTGTTACAGCAGCCCTCAGAGAGTTAGGGCAGTTAAGCCAAGGTGAAAATACTTCTGTCTTTCTTCTTTCTTTGGAGACTTCACGAAGCAGATCTGAGACACAGCACTCTGCAGAGCAGGCATGTGCACCACAGCTGCTGTTTGTGAGTTGTAGCTGTGTATCAACCCCAGTAAATAAGAATCTAAGGTCATTCCCAGTTTTGAAGGTGAGATCTTGCAGCTGACAGAGCAGTTTGCTACAGCTGTTTGCATAATGTAGCCTCTGAGGAGTTAAATCTCTTCATGCTAATCCAAAATGAAATAATTATAATCAAACTGCAAGTAACTTCAGTGCAAGTATAATACAATGACAGAGCAATTAAGCACATGTGCTGCTGAAAACAAATATATGCTGTGCTAGCAGAAAGGGTAATTTCAATTATTGAGTTTGAATTAAGTAGTTGAAATAGACACAAACAAAAGTCACGCAATAAGGCTCTTCCTGTTTGGGGATTTGAGAATGACCATTTCTTTTCTGAGGTGTTACCAGTGTAGCCAGAACTCTGTTAAAGTTCATCTGTAGATTCTTGCATGGGTCAGCTTTCTGAATAAGAACAATTTGCAAGTCTCTCACAGAAGTTAAGTGCAAAGGAGATGCAAGGATGGCATAAATGCATTTGTGAGTGAAATGAAAGGTTTGGGACAGCCCAGTGATGTTGAAGCTCCGTTACAGCAGTGGTAAAGAAAACAGGTGTCTACCTATGAGCCATTAATCTGAGTTCTGATTGGAGGCTGGAAGGGAAAAGGGCTTCTAATTTCCCCCTGCGGGAGAAGGTTAATGCTTGTCTAGAGTGGCAGTAAGAGCAGAGATGATAATATCAAAACCAATAGTTATATAAAACTATTATAGTGATAGTTATCAAAACCAAATTTTCCAATTGAATGTTGGGTTGCTTTTTCCAACAGATAAAGAAGCCTTCAGACCTTCCCCTAGGTAAGCTGGAGATGTGCTGATAAATACAGAGGAAGTTTTGCATATCCATATTATTCTGGAAACGACCAATTGTCTCAGCCATACTTTCCAGCAGCTGCGTTACAGGGTAATCTCTGAACTAAAATAAAATCACACCTCAGCTTTCTCTTCCCTGGTGTGTCAGAACTTGGCAAGCCAGTGATATCTAGGAGCACTGGGTTGGTCTAGTCTTGTTAAATGTTTGGAAATTAGTAACTTTCAAGTCTCAAATGGACAGAACAAAGATCTTTTTGAATTACAGAGCTAAAGCAATGCACTTACTGTTACAAAAGGGTTTTTTGGGGGAGAGGAGAGGGGAAGGGGCTGGATTGGTTTAATTTCTAAAAGGTTACTAGGTGGGTAATTAGAAGTAAGAGACTAGGACCTGATCCAGACACCACTGAAACCAGCAGGAAGATTTCTGTTGAGATAATAGATGCCACAGCAGGCAGTGGGAGTTGACCCGCGCTGTACAATACCTGTGGTGTGTATCAGGACAGGTTCACTTCTCTCACTGGAACCACCCAGGTTGAGGGCTTTAACAGAAATGTGATAGCTTTGTGCTGGCTGCAGATGAATTAGGGCTTCGCAATTAGGAATCCCAACAATTGATCTACAGAAAATAAGTTCATGGAAAACGATAAGGGAGAGAACCAGGTTGAGATTATTTTTCTGAACAAAGAACAAATCACACAATCAGCTTCTTTCGTAATTCTTTAACAAGATTTCATCATTTTGAGTAAGAGTTGCTGGTAGTATGGATATGAGAGTCTGAGATTTTTGCCTTCGTTTCTGCCATTCCCCTTATGCCCTTTATATTCATTTTCCATAAACATCTATACAACTACATTTACTGAGAGGAATGTTTCTGAAGGTGAATTCCTACAAATGTAGAACAAATTTTAAGTTTGCTTCTTGTAAGTGGTCACATCCAGTTCCTAACAGAAGTTCCTGGCAAAATGAAGAATAAGGAGAAAATACAATTATCTCATTTGACCACTTACAAGTAGGTACCGTAACTTGAATTTTCAGATTTCAAACTTCATATGGAAAAATATTTTTGCAGCTCTGAAATGGGAAATGTCTTCAAACTGTTTCCAGCTGAGAATGAAAGTGAAAAAATGGCACAGGATGTTCATGGATTGTGCGCAAACATGAAAGTCAAAATATTTTAAATAATCTGTTTTAAATATTCACATAATTATCACTTACAACTGCATCAAATTATTTAAATTTAATTTAAATTTTCCTTATTTTTAAAATCTTATGGATGAACTGCCAAATCCAGCTTGATTTTCAGGGAAGGGGATGGTATCTGATTGTCATTGTAACATTGTGCCTGATGTTACTGTTATTGATAATGTCAAGGCTAGTTACTAATCACATCTGGGTTTTTCTACTCCCTACCCTAAGCAAATCCAATCTTATGGTACTAAAATGTTTATCATGAAATTCATTTCTTCAGCCCAGTATTGTCCTCTGCTCCCCAGAAGTTGCTCTGCACAGCCATAGACTTGTACTTTTCTAAATAAATTGCTTTTGGCCAAAGGGCCATGGATCCTTTCTTAGTGCTACCTGAAGCCACATGACTTGAAATGGTTTCATCACTACAGGTTGTGGTTGTAGTAGAACAGTGACTCACTCAGTAATAACGTCGACATTTTCTTTGTCTGTCAGCTTGGACAATTCGACCGTGTAGGAATCAACAGGATTAACGTCTCTAGATTCCCAGCACACGAGTGCTGCGTTTTCACAGCTTCGTATCTTTTTACTCTTAATGATAGGTGGTGAAGGAGCTAAGAAAAAAAGGGGGTGGGGGGGGGAAGAGCAATTTAAGCAATTGCTTCTAGATATTTGTAAATCAAGCAATATATAGTCAAAGACATCTACCTCCCCAGCAGACAATGAACAGCAGGCATGGTGATTAACAGTACTATTCAAAAAATTCATTTGGACTGTAAAGTTTCCAAAATAATTAGAGAATGAACAATGACAGAGATGGGTTATGCATCCTTCCTTTCACTGTTTTGACCTTAGTTATAAAGGTGCATTCCTTCTCTACTCTGAGATGTCAAGGCTTTCTGGAATGAATGCTTAAAAGTTTCACTTTGACTCCACAAAAGAGAACTGGAATCTATTTCTTTTTTACCAGTACAAGAGTTACTGAAGACAAGGCATACTAATCAAAATGTGCTCGACTAAACTGCAGTTACAAAGGACAGCACAGCAGGTGATGTGACCTCACAAAATAGCTACAGAGCAATAAAAGGATGGCTGGCATCCATCTGGAAGAATTGTGAGATTTGAGCCCTATTCTCAGGTCTCCTATAAGTTTATGCTTAAAAAGTTATTCTATCTCCGTGCTTCTGTTCCTTACATTCTAAAAAAAGGGCAATTGGCCTGATAGGCTCTCCAAATAAAGTAGAAAACTCTCCTGTATTCCGAAAACTTGCACCAGAGGAAATGAAGCACCCAGAAAGCATTACTTGCATAAAATCCAGAGGCTACTGTGAATTCCGCTATGAAGACCACACAGTCACATGAACAAAATATGCTTACCTGTTACATAAACAGCTCTTTCACTTGGTGGACTGATGCCTGAAGCATTTAAAGCACTGACCCAAAACTCATATTGTGTATTCGGCAACAGATTAGAAATGGTGCAGTATGTTTCTTTGACTTTTAGCATATTCTCTGAAATGGAAACAACAAAGCATTTACGGTGCCTTTACAGTTACAAACCTTCCCCCAAAGCCTCCTAAAATAATGCAGTTGTGGCTTATTTTGTGTTCTGAGTTCAAGAGCCTCCTATTCTCCCTACCCTTTGATTAGGCTGCTTCACCACGCCTTCCTCTTAGAAAGCAGAAATCAAATAATGCTTCAGTCTCTATAGGAGCAACATCACTCCAAAAAAAAAAAAAAAAAGAGAGAGAGAAAGGAAGATCTCCCACCCACCTGTCATTGATATTTTATTTTTTATTTTTAAATTCCTGCGCATTCCCACACTGTGGATGCTGTCTGGTCAGCTCCTTCCAGCTGAAGCAATTTCAATACTGATTTGTCACTCTTTGCTTTATGAAATTTGAGCAGGTTCTGCTTCTCTTTTTGAACTGTCTGTTTGGCACTCTATGGAGTTCTCTAGCTGGAGAAGTTCTCGGTGTTTTCAGTAAAAGATTCTGAAACATTATTATTAGCAAATGTAGTTTTATCATAAATCCAGGTGATTTTTGGACGGTCCACTGGTTCTTTTTTGGGCGTGTGGGTGATGGGGAGTTACAACCTATTATTAGCGTTGAGATAAACTGTAAAATGACTGGGGGGGTTTAAGCAGGCATGCTGATAATATGATGATTTGCTTTCTAAAAATACAGTGCTTTGCTGTTGATGTGGTGCATGTGTGTTTAAAAGCAGTTCCTACCCCCCAAAGCTTTTGTTGTGACCTGGCACTATCCTCTGCCCCCTTCCCATTCCTGTGATCCCAGCTGCTCCCCCAGTCCTGTCTTTGCTTCTGTGATGGGTCCTGCTGCAGCTGGCAGCATGGCAGACCTTGCAGCAGCAGAGTGACAAAGCCAGAAGCTAGAGCTATGGTGGCACATATGTTGGTAGCAGGGAGAGTAGCTATAGAAGGTGCACTGGTTGCCACAGCAAAATCAAGGAACACTTTGGAACCAGTTGTTTTGTCAGCAGGACTGAGCTGTCCCCTTGTTTCTCAGTTTCCTTTACCTGCTTGTTCATCACTGTGCCTCTCATTGCTCACTGGTTTATAGCACAGCTGGTAGCACTCCACAGTGTCATCTGAGAAGAGACCCCAGCAAACTCTCAGTGAGGTGCCAGTTGCTGCATTGGGAGCCTGGGGATTGATCACAGGGGCACAAGGAGCTGCAAAGTGGAAAAATGGGTCATTTTTTGAAAGTATAAGAAGCATGCTCTGTTATTCACTAGCAAACAATTCTCCTTCCACAAAAGACTAAACACAAAGTCTGGGCTCTGACTAAAGTCATATTCCTCTCGCATTGAGAAAAGTTAGGAGCTGACTTGTTAAATATTTGGAGATGACGATCAGGCCTCTGGTGTATGAACTTAAGTCTTGCTTAAAATCAAAACAACAAAATAACATAAACCTCAGCCCACTCCTCTGTAAACTTCCTCTCCCCTGCCTCTGAGAGCTGCTTTTCTTCAGTCAACTAATATAGCCCTGCAGGAGTGACATTCCAACAGGCATTGCACCACTTGGAATAGCCCTGCTGCTGAGGATCCTGTGGAGGAAAGATGAAGGAAAGATCCAACGCAGGATCAGCAGCACAAATGAACTGGTGGCAAATGCTACTTTATTTTAAAAAGAAAGCAACAACAAAAGCAAACACCACAGCATATGCACAGAAAAAATGTAGTATCTGACTATTACTATATGCAATGTGCCAGAAATGGTTTACTCTCTCACATTTTCTTTTTTTTTTTTTTTTTTAATCATTAGGAATTTGTTTGGTTTTTGCTCTGGTCGCTGTGAATGACAGGAAAAATATTTGCCAAGTAGCAGAGGAGCAAGCCACAGTCCTATGAAAGCTGGGCAGGTTGTTTAATACAGCCTATGCCCCTCTCTACTTTTTTCAAGCAATTACAAGAAAAGACAATTTATCACCTAACTCAGCATATCTGATCCTTGAACAGAAGGGGCAAGTCTTTGCGAGTCTTCTAGGAAATCACCCAGCAATGAGCAAGGAAGACTAACCTTGAAAGTTCTGATAATTTTATACTAAAAACAAATTAAAAAATAGCTTCCTGAATCTCTGAACATATGGGCAAACAAAAATATCTAGAGGGTAAGATAGAAGCTAACTCTGCCTCTGCAGTTTTCCTTTGAAAGAAGTAATGGGTTTCTGCTTAATGCATACACTTAATTAAATATAAACAGGTCTAAAATAACGATTAGATAGGAAGAATACCTGGAATAGAATTAATGGAGTTCATAAGTTGTTCAACTTCTGAGAAATCTATGGCACGCTCTTCGAAGTCTGAATGTGTTGAAAGCTTTAAATTCACTTCTTTCTTTAAGAATTCTTTCAATCTATAATAATAAGAAAAGACGTTTAATTGGAAGTGTCACAGTATTGGAGATACCATTCTATGTTAATCTATTGTCAAGAGGAATACAGCAAACTCTACAATAACAGCTATTTGCTTAGGATAGTGTTTCCACAATTGCACAAAACTCAGCCTCCCCATGCTCTTGGATGTGTGTGGCCAACATCAGATCGTTGCTCCAAAGTGCCAAATCCAAATAGCTGGATGTGGATGGGACTTAAGGACCACACTTTGCTCCACTCATGCAGTAAGGTGGCTGTGGCACACTGCTACTGAGGTGAGTGAGATTCACCCAAGCAGCCCTCGGTGAGAAGCAAGCCATTAGCTCCACAATTTTCATCCTGTTATTTAGAATTCATGACTCTCTTACTAATCTGGACTTAACAGTTGTAGGCAGTGTAATTATGAAACAGAAGAGTATCTTCTCTGTGTGTTTTCATCATGGATGACAGTCAATATTTTTTTCTGCAAATGATTTAGCATGCCTTAAGATTTCTTCCAGCTGCTGTAACAGCTTTCATGATCTGTCTTGAGCATCCACAGCTTGACTTCCAACCCCGCTTTATTAATGCATAAATAAGCTTGTTGCTAATCTAGTTAGAGACAACAGTTTTAGGCAGATTTGTTCCTGAACTTTTCTTTCAAGATCTTTAGAAATCCTATTTCTCAGTCATTGAAATCTATTCCTTATGACTAAGCTAAAAACAGTACCTTTTCATGGTCTAACTCTCCTTTTAGGTTTTTTGAAATTAGCTCAAAATGAGTTTGGGATGTTGAACTCCTTAGAGCAATTTCTCTTGCTGTGTTTTGAACAAGAAATACAAAGGTTTCAGTGGCTCTACTAGTTCAGGTGAAATCTGTATGCCTGAATGGAGTAAGAACATGCAATTTGTCTCCAAAAATAGATCCAACTAGCAGGAGGAAAAGTGACACAAAATCCCAGACTGTGATACTACCTGTCAACCATGGTTACTGCTTCCTGTAGAAAAAAAGAGAGTTTGCGTTAAAGACAGAAAAGATACATTTTTTGCATAAGGCCAAAGCAGACTACATCGTGCTGTTGACCTGTGCTATATGAATTTGTTCCACATGCAGCCTTTAGAGTAAGCTAGCGGGCTCTCATTCAGCCCTAAGAGTAAAGCCTTGTGTAAGAGCCATTCAAGTGGATTCTAGGTCAATTTATGATAGCATGCAACATCAAGCACTTAGCAGCATCTACCCATTTAGACTCTAGACTCTTTCCTTCCTCAAGTGTGCAAAGTCCCAGCAGATCCTTTACAAACAGAAGCCAACGATGTTGGCAAAAATAACTGTGAAAGGATCTGCAGTGGAGGGAATCTAAAAGTTACCACCATAATTTTACCACCCACGAGCCAAACTGTGAACAGTCCGTGAGACCCAGGGCCAGCACTGGTCTGCAGTCGGTGGGTCAGAGAGTGGCCATTTCTCTTGAAGGCAGACATTTGGTCCCTGAAGAGACCTAAGCTGCTGAAAGCTCAAGAGCAAAAGCTATTCATTGAGACGAGCTTCAGTCCCACCCCTAAAAGATTGAAATAATGGTTCTTATCGCCAGTGTAAAACTATGAGATAGGGAGAAAATAAGGTTATTGCCAGAGATGCAAAGGGAAAAGTCAGCTCATGAAAAGAGCTCAACTGGTTGGACTGACACAGCAAAGTTGTTCCATCTGAACAGATGGAAGGTGTTGGAGAGGTTTTGTTTGCTGTCCAGTTCAGAAGTTAGTGTAGTTGTGCTATAGAAATGCTCCCCCTCAGTTGAGTCACAGGGCAGCTCAGTTCAGAGCAAGCACTGATCAGCAGTGAAAATTCTCTTTTTTTTTTTTTCCAATTATTTTTCTACCTGCTAAGAAAAATAGTTCTCAACACCTTCTCAACAATGGGATTCATCCATCACTTTGCAGGAGCCCATAATTAATTTAGTTTGGAGCCTCCTGTTCTGCTGAACTGTTCAACAAAATGAGCAGAAAAAGAAACATCTTCCAAAGTGGATGCATCAGTGCCTGCTGTGATCCTGGTGTACAACAAGGAAGCTGAGCCTAAACAAGGCAATGAACATCAGTAAGCATTTCCAGTGTTTCCTGAGGTAAGTTTTTTAGAGAGGTATTTTCTCTCTAAACCCTACCAAGATTCATAAATTGTTGAGCAATCAAGTGACAAACATCTTCCCCTGCAGCTGTATTTTGGATCCATTGTGTTGCCCCACTAAGTCAATGCCACCATGCCAAACACCTGGAGCAGCAACAGCACATGGACCTGGCACCCCAAATTCTCTCTAGCAATTAAGTTGCTTGGGGACTTCCCAGCTGGAAACTACCTGCAAGCAGCAAAAAGCGGTTAGAAGAGGTCTTGTCAGTCAAAAATCTTTACCTTCATAAAAGCAACTTTGTTGTTCTCCTGGTAAAGCTTGTGAGTTGTATCCATCAGCTCCTTGCAGGTGTCAAGATGTTCCCCACAACTGACCAGCTGTTCATACAGTGCTTCCAGCTTCTGCCTCTTCTCTTCCCCCAGTGCTTCCAACTGTTCTTCATATTTCTGAGCAAGCACTTGCACTGCATCATTGTAATGAACCTCGAAGTTCTGCTCCTGCCTCCCAAAATTCTCCTGCAAGGCATTTGGGGTTTTGTTGTTTTATGTCAGACCTGAACCATAACTCAGCAAAAGAAGTCTTTCTTGGGCCTGCCTTAAAATCTCCTTGCCAGGGATGCAATGCCAGTAAACAGAAGATGTTACTTGACTAATTTGCATTTTTACTAATCATTCATCCCCTCTGAGGCAAAAGAGAGTGTCAGATTTGGTTCCAGACATCAAGATCATCAGAACTGTCTCCGACCTAAACCCAGGAAGCTCTGTTTGGGAAATATCCTAGCCATAATTTCCCAAGTATTTCCACCTACACAGCCAAGCATATCCTTTCACTAGAGAAACCATGGCAACCCAGTTGGATCCCTGGATTTGCTCTGGGGGAGCTGAGCAGTTAATGCTGGTATCCTCTTGCACTGCTGGAGAAAGCATTAGGAAGGAAGATTTAAGGAGCCAACAAGGCTCTGTTGCCAGCAGCTGCCCACTGCTCAGACACCGATGTTCTTCAGTGCCACATGCAGCAGAGAAAACACAGTAGGTGCTTTGAGGTACCAATTCCATCTGACTTGAAGCCAGCTGGGTCCCCTCCCCCAGGGCCAAGTTGACATCAGCCCTGCAGGAGCACAAACGCTGAAGTGCTGCATCCTGATGCAACTGGCCCAAAGGCTTCTGTAAATGGGGTGTAAGCACAAATGGTACATTGTGGATGGGTTTGTTAGATCACAGTCCTTGCCACTTAAAATCAAGTTAAGCTGAATGGGAATGGCTTTATTTCTGAATGCAAGTGATTTAATGTGTTTTTACTAGTCCATCTAAAAAAAAGAAACGATTGGGATGAATTTTCCTGAGTACCTCAGTCCAGGCAAACCCCAAGATAACTCTGTGCTCAGTTACTGTAATTAACTTATGCCATTAACAACAACATGCTGTGACTCTGTCAAAACAGTTCCAATCCCAGTACCAAAGTGTTAACTCTAGAAGAAATGCCTTACCTCTACAGTAATGAAGATCTCTTCCAAGTGACTGGCAAAGTTTTCCACCTGAGCAATCTGCTCTTCCAATTTGCACATGTTTTTATGAATCTCCTCCTACCAGAAAAACCCAGCATGAATCTCAGTACGTCCAAACATTCTTTAGAGGCACCACAGTGCACTTATTCTATTCTTACCTTTTCACTTTCCACTGCACTGGATAATTGAGCCACTTCATGATCCTTGTGCTCACCAAACAGTTTGTCAAAAGCTCGGATTGGTATCTTGCAAGTACAGCAAAAAACATCTGCCGTTTCTTCCTCCTCACTGACAGCCTGGCTGCTCCGCTCATCTGACACGCCACTGCTGCTAAGCCCCTCTCTGGACCACGTGTGGCTCTCAGCTTCATCCTCTGCTCTGGCTTTGCTCTGATCTTCATCTTGAGAAACCTCATCAGGAAGTTCCTGATGCTTTGTGCTTTGACTTTGATCTTTCACCGGAGAGCTGCTTTTTGATCCATTATATGCAGAGTCTTGCAATCCCGATTTTTGTGTGTGAGCAGGTAGCCATTTGCTGCCCACTGTCTGCAGATGCCCTCCAAGAAGCTCAAGCTCTTTTTCTCTGTCCTCATCAAGCCCATACATCTTGGCCAGCTCTGCAACCTCCTTTTCCAAGTCATACGCGGCTTCTTGTGAGTTCTGACATTTTTCACTACTCAATGCAGATTCCCTGCTGGTATTTCTCAGAAATCTGCTTCCTTGACCAGATGGCTCTTCAGGAAAGATATCAAACCTCTCATTTGATCCATAAAGATCCATGTGATAAAATATCAAGCCTTCAGTTTCACTGGAATCTGTGACTGGTGGAGAAGCTGAGTGACCAGGAAATTGGTCGCTATTTTCATACTCTCTTGCACTGACAGATCTGGATGACATTGATATCCTCTGTGAGGCTTTTGAGATGACGAGTCTCAGTCCTGTAAAAGAAAAGAAAAATAATAGCTATGTGCTTAGATATCAAGCATGATATGTTCTCAAAAGTGTAGAAAGGAGTAAGTTTGGCTGAGGACAGCTCTGGGCCTAGAGATAGTCATGGGAAAGGCTAAAGCTTCATTTCCTAGTGGGATGCTGGCTTTTCTCACCTCTGTGCAAAGTACAGCAGAGAGCTGTCTTTAGTATGTATCTTGTATTTTCTGAGTGATTCATCTGAGTGATTTGGAATCTAAATTCCAAACTGTGGAGTCGTCCCATCTTCAGCTCTACACTGGGATGTGCTTCAAGTGCATTTAGTGGTGTTGTGTGCAATTGGAGATGGATTGATCTGAGGTCTGTTCACCCTTCAGCTGCTGTCAAGGACTGTTTCTGAACTGTCATTCAGGCATCCTGTAGGATGCCCTCTCTTGTGACCACTGATGCCCCATAAAACGTTAGCTAATGACCTGAAAAATCCTGTTCTAGATTTTTCAGGTTGTCTTTCTTGAAATTGAAACTTGATGTTTCTTTTGGCTTTCTTCTCACTTCAGTTCTCCTGTCGTTTCCACAGAACAAGGATAAATACTGCCCTGTGGGGATTCTCAGGTGTTGTGAAAATATATATTTTTAACATAAAGGAAGTGTGCAGAAAAAGGTTCATGATGATCCCCATGATAAATCATACAGTCTCCAGGAAGCAAGGCAGATCCTTGAACTGAGAGAAGCCTGATCTGACCTGGAGCTTGCACACTTCATCCATTCTGTGCAATGTGGGAAGTGTGAAAAGAACGTATGGATGTGAAATGCAAAGCTGTATGATAAAGCAGATGTACGTGGGACAACATTAGAGGTACAAAAGCAATCTCAATGCTGACTCCCCGGGCCCACTCCTTCTCACCATCCTGCTATTAATAACAAGAAATGAAATAATGCTGGTACAGGAAGACCACCAGGTGCTCTGTCAGAGCTGCAATGTCTCCCCAACCCACCATCACTCAGCAAAATCATGGTTGCAAAACTACTCAGCTCTGTTTTTTGAGCAATTGACTACTACAATCAGCAGAGTTCATGGAGATATTTCAGCCAAATATTAATGAATCTATAGTTACAGCTAGTCTAATTCAGTGAAACAGACAAAAAGCTTGGAAACCATTTTCTCACAGAAACAAACAAACAAAAAAACCCCTAAAAGCTAAAAGTTCAGTTACTCATCAGAATTTCAGGAGCTTTCATGTAAGTTTTGCTTTCAAACTACTTTTTACAGTCTTCATAGTTACAAGTACTTGCTATCACCTCAAATTTGTTTCATCAATATTTTAGCAATATTTCTGAGGATTAATTTGCTATCATTGTCAACAAATTCAGTGACTTATTAGAAAGTTACTTATTGAACAGGTGAAAAATGCTAAGAAATCTCCCACTCTCCAGTTGGGTATCAATGACTGAAAACAGTCCAGCCCCCTAGGCATCTAAGAAAGTATACACAGAAGTTCACTATTCTCTTCTGGCACTGCAGAAATGAATGTAGATTCTGGAGCTAGCAATTTCTTACTACAGACAAAAAACACGGAAGTTATGCAGAAATACTATTATTTATGCTAGAGCTAATAAAATAAATCATGCAAATTCTAACGTATGGAACAGAGAAAAGGTTTTAAAACATACCAGCAAATGCTGTCTGGCTCCCACAAAGACTTTTTTCCCCATAATTGTAACGGTAAGGTTTGCTTTGCAAGCTGCAACGAACTAAAAAAGTGAACAAGTATTTTTCCTACCAAAATAAAATTAAATTATATAAATTAAAATGAGCATAATTAAGCTTGTCTGGAACCCTGCTGCCTAAGTAAGATTTTCAGATGATATGTTTGCTCAGTTTACAGACGCGGATACAATTACAGTGAAGAATGTTTAAGTCCGTGACCATCAATAATGAAAAAAATACAGTAAAGAATGTTACTACCTAAAAACTTGCCTTCTATCTTAAGACGTCATAAATTCTTCTGACAGCTCAGGTGACATCAAACTTCACATTTATTTCCCATAGTAAAAATTAATTCACACAAAAGCTATTCCCTGCCACTTTCCTATGACTGCAGTTGGAAGACTTATTGCAGTAACTCTAGACTGCCTCTTTCCTCAGATAGGGACATGCCAGCAATGAGCAATGGCACAAATATAGATGTGTCCCAGCTGTCCTTGAGTAGCACACTACTTGAGTGTCACCAGGACGAATGCCATCCACCGAGAAAAGGCTCTGATGGTTCTGTGTGATTCCTGGAGCCAGAGTACTTGGAACATTTATACAGACCCCCTCTAAAGCCAGAGCACACACTCAGTTTTTGAGCTGACAGTAAGAAACCCAGCAGAGTGCAGTCATTGACTCTAGACGTGGTTTACAAGGCTGTAGTTCTAGGCACGTTACCTTGTGTTGCATGCACAAAATGTGCGTTCTTCACAAACAAATTAAAATGGATATACAGATGCATACAGTGGAACAGTTAAACTGAAATATCTGTGTTGTTCTTTGCAAAAGTTTTATGGCAAAATCTGTCTGTATATCAAATTACTGGAAATGTTGCTAGTGATTTGAGTTGGAATCGAGATTGGATTCTAGAAAAGATATCTAGGAAAACCTAAAAACCACCAGAATTTAGGGGAAAAAAATGCATGACGTGCACTTATACACCACCCCCACTCTGTGTGTGTATGCTGGGCCCTTGGAAAGCTATTTATAGTGAAGCAAGAGGCTAATGGCCAAGCCAGGGGGAGGTTTCACAGAAACATAACCCTTCAGTCTGCTCAGCAGTGGAGCACCTGATGAAAAACAGGCATATATTACTGCTGAAGGTTGTGTTCACTGTGATTACTCGAGCCCTGTATACCCACTCAGACCCACAGAACTTTCAGTTGTCCAGAATACAAGATGTTCTGCTTGTGAACTTGCTAGTGAGCTAACCTGGCTGGCAGGAGATGTTGAAGTGTGTTTGAGGACATTGCAGTGTACACTTCTCGAGCTCAAAGGAGAGTGTGATGGGAAATGTCTGTTGCATCTTAACAGAGCTCTGCTTTTTCCTCCATTCCAATTACACTTGGTGTCATTTCCTCACATTTTTAGCAGTACAACTGTTGGCTGTTTCAGTAAGGAATTACAAGTTAATTACCCATGTAGTCATAATCTCATTACTGCTGATAGTTTTTCTATCATCTGCAAGATCAGAGCAGAAATGTTTTCACGTAAATGATGAAGCCTTTGTAGGAATGTTAAAATTTATGCTGTCAGACAGATTTTATTAATTTTTCAGATGGGAGCTTATTTATGCTTCTTTGTTGTTAAACTACAATATCTCACAGGCTTTCATCTATTGAAAAATTAGTAGTGTCAGCTTTACTTCCAAAGACCAGAACACAATGTTTTGTTTACCGTAAATTAAATTCAGCCTTGATCACAAGCTCGGATGAGAGATACGTGCTATACAGAAAGCTGTGTCACTTCCCACTCTATTGTGAGGCCTGCAAGCCCTTCCATAGGGGCTAATTGGAGAAGGCCAACGTATGCATTCAGGTTGGATATTAGGAAAAATTTCATCTCATGAGGAGCAGCGAGGCATTGGCACAGGCTGCCCAGGGAGGGGTTGGAGCCACCGTCCCTGGCGGTGTTCAAGAACAGGGTGGATGTGGCACTGAGGGGTGCAGTGGGGAAGGGTTTATGGTTGGACTGGGTGCTCTTTTCCAACCTTAGCTATTGTATGCCACCCCCCTCCTAAAGTCATTGAACTGCTGAGAAAGGATGGGATATTCAGAGGCCAGGTATTAGATGATGCCTAAAGAGCAACACTACGTGGAAGATGGCTCATTTCACACTCCTGTTTTTGGGGGCCATCTTTTGAGAATGGATTTAGACACAACTCCAAAGCTGCTATGCTGCACAGGAGAAGGGAGCCTCCGGATGCCTCCATTTTGCATGGCAGGAAGGGAACACGGAGCTTTGTGGTGAAAAAGGGAACAACTCAGGAAAGGCAGGGAACGATGGCTGGAAGAGAGCTGCTGGCACACAGCTGCCTCCTCAGATCTGTGGCAGGAGCAGCTACAGCTAAGTCCCACAGCAGCACGGGAAGATGGCGGCACAGGGAGATGGCCACAGCCTGAGGTGCACACCACGATTCTGCTCTGAGGGAAGGCAGCAGGGCCACCTCCTGCTCAGCTGACAGCCTGGTGCGCTCTGCCCGCTGCTTTTTACAAAAAATAGTGATTTTTTTTCTCTTTTGTTTTCCTTTCATTTTCCCTTTTTTTTTTTTTCTTTTTTCGTTCTATTTTCGCCCCAGCCCCACGCCTCCTCACACGCCTTCGCGCGCAGCCCCTCATTCCCGCCCATCCCAGCGCAGTGTTTATTTCCGTATTACGGCGCGAGGACCGGCCGCCCCCGCCCCGATGGGCTCCAGCCAATGGGATCACGCGCTACTTCGCCCGGGCCCCGCCCCTCCGCAAGCTGCGCGCCGCTCCCTTAAGGCGGCCGAGTTTCGGTTCGCTTCGCTTGGCGGCCGCCGCCATCATGGAGCCGCAGCCGGACAGCCTGGAGGGGTGGGTGGCCGTGCGCGACAACGCCTTCGCCGAGCCACAGCCGCCGCCGCGCCTCCGCTTCCTGGTGGGCTGGAACGAAGTGGAGGGCGCCTTCGCCGTCACCTGCCACTGTCGGTCCGAGGCGGCAGAGCGGGCCCCGCAGAGCTGGGCCGGCCTCTTCTCGGCTCCGGCCCTGCGCGGCGTCCACCGGCAGCTGGCGGCCGTCTGCCCGCGCCTGGAGCCCGCCTTGCCCGCGCTGCCGCCCGCGCCGCCCGGCGCTTCGGGAGGCCTTTGGGCCGTGCTGTTCCCTGGCGGAGCGGCACCGGACGAGGCCGAGGTGGCGGAGCTGTGCCGGCAGCTGGAGCGTTACCTGGGCTGGGCGCTGGAGCTGTGCGGCGGCCGCGTGCTGCTGGACGTCCTCTTCGCCGCTGACAGCCACCGCGACGACGAATACTTCGAGAGCCTGCACGAGTTCCGCGGGAAGGCCCTGCGCGGCCACCTGGCCCGGGCCAAGGAGGGCCTGCGGCGGGTACGCGCCCTCGGGCGGGGCTGGGACCGGGCTGTGCTGCTGTGGGCCGGCCGGGGGTCTGCACCTTGGGCAGCCCGGGCTGAGCGCCTGCTGCTGAGCAGTGGAATGCCGTTACTGCTTCAGAAGGATGTTCTGTAGAAAGGCAGCTGTAGTTTGCAGTGTGTTCTTGTACGGTGTTACTGTGTGTAATTGTGTAAAAGCAAGGATTTTATCCAGACAAGCCCAAACAGACAAGAAGCCCACTGAAAAGCAAAAATCCCTCTGCCTGTCAAAAGCAAATTCTGATAAGTGATTTTCTCGTGAGAAAGTGAACTATTGTTTCTATGGGGGCAGGAGGAAAGGATAGTCTTTTACACTGCTCCAGGTGGACCTAGGAGTGATTGAGGGGCTTCAAATCTCAAGGGATTATCAGAAATGCTGGGGTTCCTGCTGTTCTCCTGCCACAGAGCTTCCCTGGGGAGATTCCTCTGCAGCTGGGACCTTTGCTCCTGCTGTTGGACTCAGCTGGCAGGAGGAAGAATGATGATTTAATTCCAGTGCTTCTCAGTTGCAACACAACCAAGCCAGCATTTCTAGATGATTTTTCTCGCTTTGCTCCTTCCCTCAAGGAGCCACAGATCAAGCAGTGTCTTTTCAGAGAGATCTGTGGTTCACAGCTGCCTTGCTGTGTCCTGCTGTGTAGGGTGCTCCATGGTCTCTGGCAGCTGCTGTCAAAGAAAAATCTTGGAAGTTTTGATTTTAACCAGTAAACAAAAGCCATTATGGGAAGCTTCTAGCTTTGTGTTTTGTCTGTGGAACAACTGAAGACGTCAAAGGGGGACTGATGTGTCAGAAAGAGTAGCTCATTGCATGAGTTACAGGTTATAAAATCTTCTGTCATGAGGACTGTAATCTGAGTAAACTATTAGAAATTGTGCAAACGACAATGGGATTTAACTGCAGGCTGTATCAGGAGTAGAATTCTTATTTTTAAGTCTCAATCTGTTTTTTCTAACCTTGAAGTCAGAAATTTGGGGTCTAGATACTCATTTCTTATTAGTGCCTACATAGTGAATCTGGAAGAGATGCAAGAGTTTAAGAATACCTTCCTTGCCCTTTCGGTATGCAGAATTCCCCTTACCACTTGTGTTTATAAAAAGCAGTGACCGAGTCACCTGCACACAACTGCTGGGGTTTCTGCTGTAGGAAGACCTGGGCCTGGGCAAGAGTCCTTGCAGTCTCCTAATGCAATACAGAGCAATCAGTGCCCATCAGCAAGGTGTTAATAGTATTTCATGCTGGGGTGGCTGCTGGCTGCCTGGAGTGCTGGGAAGCTGTGCCTATTCCACCTGGTGATAAATAGCAGGTGCCTTCCACCACAGCCCATCAGCAGCCAACACACACAGATGTAAAGCAGCCAAGCCTGATTTACCTTTTATTTCACTAGGTTCTTCAGCAGCATAAAAGCACTGACACAATGGTGGCTTTGATGAAGGTTTATGAGGAAGAAGATGAAGCTTATCAGGATTTGGTTACCATGGCAACACAGTTCTACCAGTACTTGCTGCAGCCCTTCCGAGACATGCGGGAACTGGCAACACTGTGCAAACTGGAAATCCTGGTAGGTTCTGTCTTTATGAAGTTTACAGGTTACATAGTGAGACTGAGGTATCACTTCGTACTCCCTGGTTTTGCCTTCACCTGCTTTTCTTTTTTTCTCCTGTGAAGCCATCAAAAAAGACTGAGAAGTGTACAGCTGGGGCAGAACTGCTCTTGTAGGATCTGAGTCTGTGGTATTGGTTTGAGTTAAACTGCAGCTCTACTCCGCCAGTGTCTCCCTTCTTTCTGTTTCTGAGGGCTTAATTGGAAAACTTGCCCAAGCTCTGCCTGTCTGCTTTATTTTCCACTGAGCTGCGATTGCAGAGACCTAAGTAGCTTTCATTTATGCCACCTTCAGTGGGATCAGTTTGTGACAGTGAGAATGCCATTCTGCCCAGTGCTGATGCACCACATCAGCTCAGCTCTGGAAGTAAAACAAAAGGTAGAGAAGACCTGACTAAGGAAACATACGTATATTGGTGCCATTCCTTTTAGAAGTACAAGCTCAAATTTGTCATTTTTTCATTTTCTTATGCGTGCACCTTAAACTGGAAGCACAGATGTCCCTGGGAAAGTGGGCTGTCCACTACTTGATTTTTCAAATTAGAGTGAGCTGTTAGTGTTCCAGAAAGGAGCTGAACCATACTAAGTTTAGGTTAAGGAAGGTTTTTTAGGAGCTCTAAGTCTGAACTCTGAGGGTAAAATATGCAGTATGCTGTATTAAGAAATGAAGATCTGGGAGGATGAAGCACAAAGTTTGCTACTGTATAATTCGGAAGGTTGTGCAGGCTCATTTGAAATATGGCTGCTTTTCAAAGAGAAAAAAAATGAATACTAGTCCTGTACGTATGTATTCTCTGTGGTCTTGAAAAAATTCTCTTATGTTTCCTTTCTGTATCTCTGTTTCTATGTGAAAGAACTGCCGAGCTGGAGAATCTGACAGGGTGATGTGCTGTCAACACGTGAGGGAAAAATAGAAGTGAACATAGCACATAGAAGAGTGTATTTGTGTCATTTTTAGTAACACTTAAAAGCACTTCATTGGTCATTATTTTTAAGATCTTATTTCTTAACATACTTTTTAAAGCTAAACTGATCCAAAGTGAATGTTTCAAGGTCATGGTTAAGGTACAAAGTTTTTGAGTTAGCTCAGAATGAGGAATGATCATGCACAGGTGTGAGGAGTGGTTCACTTTGTGGCAGGAGAGAAGGCCGTGCTTGCCACGTGCTGTGTCTTCCTAGGAATGTCTGTCAGTGTAGCACAGTGCAAGATGCACCACTGCTGTAACCAGCTGATAACTGAGAAATTGTCTCTTTGCAGAAATCTTTACAGTATGATAACCTGGGACCTAAAAGAGTAGCAGCTTTGCAAAAAGATGCTGAAGAATGGACTAAGCGAGCTGAGAGTGCTGTGTGCTCCATTCAGGATGTAACTGTGAAGTACTTCAAGGAAACTGTGAAGGCTCTGTCAGGTAATCAGAATGGCTTAAACAAAAGGCTTTCTGAATACTTGATTTAGGATATTGAGAGCTCTTTTTAGTACGTTTGCTGCTCTCTCTTCAAACTCCAAAGTTAGGGTGCGTGTCGAGCTTAAGAAACATTTTATTCACCTAAGATTCACGAGTTTTAACCAATTTGATTTACAGCTTGTATTTTGCTTGCACCCAAATATCAGATCACTGTGTAACTGCTAAGACATGTCAATAAAGTATTTTACTTATGTATAAAACAATACATTCAATCTTCTTTAATTTTAAAAGAGCTTCAGATATAGTTTAATAACATCAGCATTTTTACTACTGCAGCTGTAATATAAATGCACTCAGATTATTGGTTTTCTCCATTTCTCATCTCTTATTGCAATATTGTAATCTGCAGCAATGCACAAGGAGATGGAACAAGACCAGGAAAGATTTGGTAAAGCCACCTGGGCTTCAGCTTTGCCACGTCTAGAAAACCTGAAATGTATGTTGGCTAAAGAGACCCTTCAGCATCTGAGGGCAAAAGAATTATGCCTGAAACAGAAGAGAGCTGCTATTCAGAAAAATGTAAGACTCTGCAAAGCTTCCTTTGCTGTCAGTGTTTTGTGAAAGGCTGATCAAAACCTATCACCAGGGTCACGGGTAGACTTTCAATCTCTTTGTTTATGAAAAACTTGAGAGGCCTCTTTCAGCAAAGTACCTGCGTTCAGTGCTATGTATTGTACAGGGTTGCAGAGCTGACCTGAATCTGATGACACAACAAGCTGGTGTTTCTTCACATTTTGGGGAAGATAAATCAATTTTTAATTTAACAAACACAAAGCTTGAACTAGATGGTTTTCAGTGTGGTTTTAAGTTATGAGACAGTGCTGGTTTCCAGTTCTTAAAGTTGCTCCTGCACACATGGAGACACTTAGGAAAGGTTAAGATAAATGCCCATACAAGTTTCAAGTATCATGTTCGTGTTTTTGTTATTAACCTTTAAAAGTGTCGATTTTTGGCAGATGAGGAGCAGATACTACGTTCAGTGGACACTGCAAAATCAGAATATTTACTTAATATTCTGACCTATTCTGCTTCATGCTGTTTTACTGCTGCTAGGTGTATCTGACTTTTATTTTCCAAGAGCAGTGGTGTTATTTGTGCACATCACAATGAAGTCTTTCCTGGTAGACTTAAGATCTTTAGACTACTGAGGCTGCTGCCTCCTTGGACTTCTTCTCCAACCCGTTTCTAATATTCTGTTATTTCCATACCAAAGCATTTTAGCAGCTTCCGGACAGGCCAGGTTCTGCAGGTATCAACTTCATAGATTGAAGTATGCATGCATGCATGCTTGTTTCCTGTGTGTGTATTTTGTTATCAGTGCTTTTTATTTTCTGCTTGGGGCTGTACAGATGGAGAACCTCAATGAACAAGAAGAGAATGTGACTGTAGCAGAGGAGCTAGAAATACATTATTATGAAACCCAACTGGAATTATATAATGTACAGCTTGATGTATTGAAACATGAAGAAATGCTGCTTATTGTACAGTTGGACACTTTGAGGAGACAGATTAAAGGTAAGAATAAAGACATAATTAAGCATATATCTAGGACACAAGAGTGGTGACCTGCTCTTTATATTAAAAATAATAGTAATAAAATAGCAAATACCTACTGGTCACGTAGCTACAGGATATATGTATAGGAACTATGATATTGTGACCTACTGAAACATGTCCTGAAATTAATCACAAGTTTGTTATAATTTAACATGTAGAAATTGCAAAATACATCCTGTAATGACAAAAAAGTAATTATATCTAGATGCTACTTGAGTGCTGCTTATATTCCTGCTTAAAAGTTTGTTCATAATATAAGATACCAAGTAAGGTATCTTTATTTTTATTTGTCCTTGATGAGTT